AAACATGTGGGAATTGACTTCTGTTGACAAAAACAGATTAAAAATTCATCTTTTCATACTTTTAATCTTATATTATTTGCAGATTATAACTTTTATTGAATTAAAAATGTATTCTTGAAGAATTTTTTCCCTAAATTTCTGGAAAAATATGAATAATTTGGGGCTTTAGTAAGAGCTGCGAGAGTGTTTGAAGTTTCAATCAGGCACCTGCACTAAAATAGCAGCTGCTTTGTTAGCATGCAGGTCACAGTTGCACAGTCGTTGTGAATTTATAATATCTAGCACTCAACTTTTAGGTGCCATCTTAGCAAATTTTAAAGTAATTCCGGGTTATAGACATCGTTTGGTTGTGCAAGACTGTCCCAGTATCAGTTAGATGAGAGATGTGGTGCACTAACATTAAATTCCTTCGTCTGACAATAACTAATATTAATCAGCGCTGATCCACAATGAACAACGTTGGATTATTATTTGACAGGCTCAGACCACTGATTTGGACATAGATTACGATGGCAGCGGTCTCGGCTTCCGACAATGTAGGTCAGCCTGATTAATAATATGTAAATGTGATGTGATTGAAAGCTCCAGATAACTGCTTAATGAACTGTGAGGTGAGCTGTTTCTAATAATGTTCGTATTTTTTACAATACACTTTGTAGAACCACAGGGCCAAAAAAAGAAGAAGAAAAAAAAGCAGCATGGTCCATTTTATTCATCCGGTGTGTCAGATTACACAGAAGAGTTGCTCAAAATTAGGGTCGCTCCACATTGTTGCACAATAAATCCAAATTACTGAAACCGCCGCGCTTCACGGCTGCTTTTAGACCGTTTGATGCGTCTATTTTAAGAACATTACGTATTGCGCTGAGCCTAATCTCGGCGGATTTTCTCCTTTAAATGTCTTTATGAATGCTGCATTCAGTTAGCGAGCGTGGGGAGCGCCAGCACTCGCCTTCCTGCAGCAGCCCCGCATCGCTCACCTCCTTTCATCTGTGCATGTCACAGCCCGAAGAGCCAATCAATATTCAGCGTCGATACTCTATATTAATTCATATAGTATCCCGTGATGGGTGCTGTCAAAAGCCCGGCTTGTATAGAATGTCTATAGCCGTGGTTTACTTAACTGGCCAGAATCAATACTTTAATGGGAGTTTAAATCATGTCTATTGGCTCCAGTTTACTGTGAAACTCGTGTGCATCTGCCTGAGGGTTTACATTGGCCTAAATGATGAATTCGTTTTACGACCTTACACCACGTTTGTTTAGTTAAACAGCAAAACGTGACCTGTTATAGAGAGAGAATAAAAACACTGTGCGGCGAATAGAAGCTTTTCCCAGATCTGATGCTGGGATAAAAAGGAGGGATTGACAGAAGAGAGAGGGTGGATTTTATCTAGTAAATAATTAGATTCGGCTCTGAACACGGAGGCATCATGTCAGTAATCGCTGGAATCTCACCACAGACAGATCGGGACGTTCCTGGATCTCAAGGCGTTCTGACAGTGACATGATGCTTTTTAGCATTAATACGAAAGATGAGATTTATTCTCGCAGTCAGCTGATGCTTAATCTAGTCAGCTGGGCTTTCAGGAATCCAGGCGTGATGATGTCAGGTGTTTGAAGTCAGATTTCACTTCTTTGATATGCTGCCTTGCGTCAGTTAGGAGTGTACAAGATTGCAAGATTATTAAAGGAATAGTCCCGAGTTTTTACTTGATATGTGAAATGCAATGACAGCTTTTTCAAAAACATTTTTCTATATGCAATGCAGGAATGGAAGGTCTGCTCACGTAATTCTTACGATTTCAGTCCTCGCTGATGTGGCAACAAACCCTCAGTTAGCTTTGATGCTAAAACAAATACAGCAGAAGAGCAACACAGCAGCAGATGAGTTGATGCTATAATCAGATTTTTAGCTATGCTTAGCGGCTGCTGATCAACAGCTCACTGTGACTGCTTCTTGCTGTTCCAATATTTTTAGCAATATTCACAACTAGCGCTGCAGCTAACCAAAGAAAGTCTTGGTCAGCTGAAATCTCATAGGTGTTGTTGAACCGACTGATTGGTCGTGGGAAAATAAACATCTGCGTGTTCTCACAATTTATTGTTGTTTGTTTTTTTTTTTATTTATGTAGCACTTATTTGTATGAAAAGTGCTATAAATAAAGTGTGATTGATTGATTGATTGATTGATTGACTAGATTAGCTAAATTGGCCATAATGCACTGAGTGCTCTCTACCTATTAGCCTTACTGAGCTATAAATAGATATAAAAAGCTATTATTTGCAACACATTACGTCATCTGGACCGACTTATTTCATACTGAAATGATAACAACAGACTCGTAGTAGACCAGTGTGCACCTGCCTGGAAATAAAACTACATCAGCTTGTAATTCCAGGACAAGAACTACTGAGGAATATAACACCTAGTTTGTTTTTATGATCAGCCATGTTGGTTGTTGAGCTGTGATATGCAAACACTGTTTGCACAGTTTACACTCGTCTTTTTGGCACAAAGTGCAGCCGTATCTCCAGATAAACGTTCAGTAAACATGAAGTCAATAAATAAATAACTAATGTATAGCTGCATCCAATCGGTTGTGCGAAGGTGCTCACAAGTAGTTTGCTCCATCCGCCAACAAAAAAGTGGAATTTATCCCGGACAGCTACTGATTTGACACTTTCCTCCTCATTACATCAACAACAGTGATTGTACGACCAATGAGAACGTGATTAGTCGAGAGCGAGTCGACCAATCCAACAGTTGGCCTGGTGATATCAGCCCTATTCATCACTCACTGTCAGAAATATCTGGAATTTCTTGTTTTTGTTCAGCGCCAGTGCTTTGACTATTTCACAACGAAAGCCACTTCTGTGTCAGTTGAATGTGTTTAAAATGAAGCTGCATCTGTAGCAGTTTTTGGTTTGTGTAACAGTTGCCTGATACAGCTTTGATTTGGTGTAAAAAGACTCATCAGTAGCTGAGGTGTGTCATTGACTCCGACCTCGGGAAGTGTTTCTCCTTCATATTTCTTCTTCCAGCTCTGACACACTGCAGCACTGTAGATTTTTTCCCCCCTCCAGCTCGGCATGCTAAGCCTTTATGGACTTGATAATGACCTTAATCTGAACCTGTCTGGCCATAACTCATCTTTGATGTTACTAAAGCATTTCCTCTCTGACAGTCCGGTTTGTACAGCAGAACAGAGATACCGCATTTTCCAGAAAGATAAGGCAAGGCAGTAGCAGGCCTTTGCATTTCCAGCATGACCTAGATTGTAAATTGAATCTCGTCTAGCTCCGATAACCCGGGGAGAGTGAAATTTGAACGTGAAATTTACCATTCACATCTGCGCTGAAGGTGTTTCCTGTTTTTAAAGAGGCGAACATTTCTTCATACTGACCTGTGCTCTGAATTTGCTTTCGTCCTCCCTCTCTCTTTCTCTTGTGGTCTTGTGATGCTACAATGCTTTCTGCAAAGGCCACTGGGGAAGCTGCATTATAGATGAGCCACTTGACTCTGTAGTTGTCAAACTGCAGATCAACCCTGCTGCTACGTTGGCTCTCTATTCTCTTTGACATCAGCCCACACATGTATGAGGATGTTTTTATTTTTTTACTGCTGCCAGTAATGTGATAATCTGATATTATTTTCATTTTAAACCTGGCGGTACAGTATGCAGCATGAAAAAAAAATGATTCTCTGCAAGTTTAAAGTGCATATTTTAAGTGAATTCTCCAGCTTCAGACCCCCTGTTAAGATAAAAATGTGTTTCACTTGTGCATAACAGCTCTGCCATCAGTTCCCTCAGATTTCTTTACAGTCTGACTCCAGCACTGGGTGTGGTACTGTAGGCTTGACTAAAGAGAGGAGCAGCCAAAAGCCACAGTGTTTTCCTCTGGTAGCATAACTTGTACCTACTGACCTACCCAGGTCTTGCTAAATGTTTACTCAGTGTAAATACAGCGAGGAATCGTTTTTCACTCGCTCGCTTGTACTTTGACTTCTACTGATCCGTTTAGATGTGGCCATTTTGACATGCCCTCTTTCTGTCTCTCTCTCTCTCTCCTGTATTTTTTTTCTTTCCTCTTCGCCCACACTAAGTGGCTAAAAGCCAAGGTAAGTCTGGTTTATCACATGACCCATTTTGCTACAATATATTATTGATAGATTCATTCAACTCCCTTTCACAGCAAACTCCTCTACATGTGATTATTGTTGTAATCTCCCGTATTATCTCCCATTAACCGACCCGTAGTCCTCCCTGTAGAGACGAAGTCTGGAGCTTTGTAACACCCTCCCTGTCTTTTGTACCGTGTACATGTTGTCATTTTTGTGTTTTGTGTAATTGTCCCTAAATGTTCTGTAGTACACTGAATACTTACAGGCTTCCCAGATAATAACTCACATTTATCTCCAATAAAAATATTAGCACTGATTTGTACCACACAGTTGTTTTTTTTCTGTTTAGCTTGTTGAGGACATATGGGTTTTGCAAGAAGCCTTGTTGAAAAAACAAAGAGGTTTCTACCCTGCAATAAGCAACAAACAGCCGAGTTAAACATAAGCTGGGGTGTGATTACATAACCCCCTCAAATTATCACCAACTCAACTATGTACATCCATCCTGCTGAAAAGTTGTCATCTGGGCAGCCTGTAACATTTGATTTGTGTTGCATAAGTAGTAATCACCGCACTGTCACTGAAGGAATTTGCCTATAAAATAAGCATCATCTTCTTTCTTTCTCCCCCCTCCCTCCACTAACCACAGCAACATGGAAACAATCAGGCAATCAGAGGAGGAACACTATCGAGGACCAATCCGCCGACGCAGAAGCCGCCCAGCCCTCCGATGTCAGGGCGTGGCACGCTGGGGTAAGATTTTCATTTTAGTCGGCAGCGTAGAAGGAAGACTAATCCTCTAATTATGAAACGCTAAATGAAAAAATAAGCCTCTTGTGGGGGCGACGGTGGAACAGGCAATTTAAGCACATGTCATTTGTGTTTATTCTTGGCTTTTTATTTAATAAATGAAAGTTGAAGAGTAGCGTGATATACCGCATAGAAGACACAAAAAATAAGCTTGAAAATGAGCCAGGACATGATTGTTTAATGTAAGTTTGGTCATGGCTGTTGTGTCTTTCTTGGTTTTGGCTTGTGTGTTAGAAATGAAAAACAGATATAAGATCCAGGAAACTGTTAAGTCTGGGAGCTTATGCCTGTTAGTGGGAGACAAACGTCTTGCCCTGATGATGCCAGTCGTCGCCTGATGCACAGCAGCAGTCACAGACACTAATCAGATATTAATTCCAAGGATAAACTGTGATGTTCTCACATCCAGCCTGTAGTGCACAGCAGCCAGCTGGGTAAACTGATGGGATTTACAGCGCTCTATAATGAACACTCCCTCACAGTTTCGATAGCAGGATTTACACTGAATTATGATCACGATTTATCATTCTTTGCTTTTCATTTTCCTGTTTGTTTGTTTTTTTTGTGTGTGCTGCTGCAGCCGTAACACATCCTATAAGACTCTGGAGCCGGTGAAGCCGCCCACAGTTCCCAACGACTATATGACCAGCCCCGCCCGACTAGGAAACCAGCACGGCCAGCAGCACAGCCCCGGACGCACGGCGTCGCTCAACCAGAGGCAACGCACACACAGGTAGATAAGAAAACAACCTCTGAGTTATCAGCCTATGTCGCTTTTCCTGCTTTGTGTCATCATGAATGGACTATCTTTGGGTTTCAGACTGTTTCACCATGTTTAAACAGCCTGTTTTCTGACAAACAAAACCTCCCCGAGGGGTTTTTCACATCATGTACACTATGATGTCCCCAATAATAAACACATTATATATTGATATCAGCCAATGAATGCATCCAGGAATAAAAACCTGCTTGAATACAGATAAAAAAAAGATTTCCTTACAAACACCATTACTCATCATATTCTCATATTTATTTGCCCACATACACATTATAGTATACACAGTATAGTTGTGATGCTTTCTTACATTTCAGCAGGATCAATGCAAACACAGACAGTAAGTGTAGTCAGTTTTATCTGTACAACACAAACACGGCAAACTGGGGAAAAAAAGGTGAAGAAATGCAGGAACAACAACAGCAGCTTCCAAAATAGACCTACAGTAGGTGCAGCATATACAGAATACAAAAAAGAAGCAGTAAGAGCAGCAAGATCCCAGTGTACAGCTAATAAGGAAAAGTTAGTGATGCTAAAAAATTTTATAAATGTGGGAATAACAGAATTACGACCAACATACAGTCACAATACAGCATTTAGAAGTTAATAAGAAACTAGTGTCTAAATCCTCTGAACCCCAAAACCTACTGGTGGGTTTGAAAGGAATATTATCTTTTTAAAAAAATCAACAAAATTACACAACTCATTAGAGCCAGAAACTGTCAAAACAGAATACATTTTAAACTTTCCAATAGTCCTTGAACTACTCAACTCTGACATAAAAATGATACGGATCTAAGCTTAAAACTGTGGTATTTAATAAAAATCACTTTATTCTGCAGCTCTCATTTGAAAATTCACCAGAAATAAATAGTGTGCAGCAACCACATTCTGTAAAAACGAAATAATTCTGCACTTCTTGGTGCAAATTTAAAGCCATTAGTGACTCAGCTGCACACAAGAATCATGTGACAAAAAATCTGAGACTCTTTGAACTGCAGGCTGTGTTTACACAGAGCAGATAGCAGACAGATATGGAAAGAAATTACAAATGTAAGTTACAAAATGTCTCTAGTATGTAGAGTTAGCTTTTATTCCAGTTTTGGTAACACCTGTGATCACTTGGACAAATGTCTCACATGTTGATTCCTGGTTTTTCCCATTTTTATAAAATAAGTAATCAAAGAAATCCAACTTTAGATTTTTCTTTTTTTTAATAATTAATGGCTTTGTAACATTTTTGAGTTCTCTCCACTTCTATCCACGGTTTATGTTGCAGTGAAAAATGAGTATACATAAAGTAAAAGTGTGACGGAAGGGAAAAAACGCCAGAGGCAACTGCTTGGGGTTTCACAGTGTTACGTTCAAGAGCTTCAAGCAAAGTTAAAAAGTCTGAGAAAAGTTTATCAGCTTAATTTGATGTAAAAATGTGCAAGTAATATAAAGTCAATAACGACCTTCGATTATTATTTTCAGTATGCCAGACAGTGCTGCCTCCTGATGATATGAATAATTTGAAGGTATCATTTTGCACAACATGGATAAAAGTCTCTAAAACCTGCAGCGGCATTCGGCAGCTTTTAATGGAGTACGAGAGGCCCAAGTGGAATTAGTGTTCCTACTACACCTCTAAACTGAATGCTAAAATATGTAGTTAAGAGTTTCAGCAATGTGTGAACACCGTCTCTCCAAAAACACTGTTCACATAGTTCTAATCTCTTCATTTAGTTCAGCTGCTTAGAGCACTTTCACACCTCTCCCTCTCCTCCGCTAACACTAAATCCAGCATTTGTCTGACAAGGATTGGAGGGCTTCTTACCGCGGCCTGAATCGCTCTGATATTAATATCTGTAAAAGCCTCTAATATAAAGTGCTGTTTCAGATTTTGTAAAGAGAACTACGTCAGCTGCAGCATGCAAACCCTTAAACACAGCTCTCAAGGTTTGTTCCCCCAGAAATCGCAGGAGCTGCTTTCATCAAACTTGAGTTACGAGTGAGGGAAGTCGCCTCATTAGCTAAAAAGCCTGTTATGCTGACTGTGATGCTCATAAATATTGCATAACTTTTTTTTTATTTTTCCTCTTCGTGTCCAACTCTCTTTCTTACTCATGTATGTTTGCACACATACAGCACTTTTTCCAGGACATATTTTACATTATGTCCTTGGCTCTCTTGGCTTCGCATGTCTAGAGGAAGTGAGAAACAAATGTGCGCAGCTTTTTCAGGCTGTTCAGCATCACTGTTGCCAATCTGTGGTTTAAAGCCACCCTAATGTCCCTTTAACGAACTGATGCTGTCCTCAGAGTCGGACCCTCCCTGCTCCGGCTAATATTGCTGCGGCATCGCTATTTGATTACGCCGGCTCGCAGTCGGCCGTGCTTATTCAGCTCATCAGTCTCTGTCATCCTCAGCTAAGGTCTGAATTCAATAGAGGCATCTGTGTGCTCCTGCTGCATGATCCCTGCTATTATCTAATATCTTTTGATGGGAATATTTATAGTGTCATACGCAGATAAACACGCTGACCGTAGTCGCTGCAGAATTGTGGTATAAACATCTGTTGCATAGCACAGCGTTTATGAGGTTAAACTTGTGCTCCAAACCAAATAGGATGCATTTGCATATACACCAGTGGTTTAAGTTTTGTTAATGCATGATGCACCAAAATGCATATTTTAATTCTACTTCCTCAATAACTATCAACTTCTTAACTGCTATCTACTCTTTCACTCTGTAATTTTTTGCATCATTTAAAACCAAATTAAAAATAACTGAGGCATTGCCACTGACTGTATATAAAGATAAATGAACCCTCTGGGAAGTCATCAATAAGGCTCCTAAAGAGCAGTATTAAAGCTCAGTGTGGTAGCTCCAGTTATCACCGTGTTGGTTAATCCCACCTAACCTAAAAAAAAGAGGTGGAGCTGAGGCAGGGCATGCAAACGTCTGGGCCGTGAGTTGTCCTGTGACGATCTCTATTTGTCACTCATAGTGGCTGCACCCGTAGCTCTGCATATTTTAAGCCTTAATACAAATGAAGCGGGTGTTTTGTATAAAACCTTACCCCCATGCAGCTGGCATGAACCTGGAAACCAGCTGTAGAGATCAAAACACTTTGTCACACCAGGCTGTAAACATGTTTATTTCTGCTGCGAAGTCGGGCATTTTAACATGAGGGTCTATGGGGGTTGACTCGCTTTTGGAGCCTGCCTCAAGTGGCCACTGGAGGAACTGCAGTCGTTAGCACTTTGGCATACTCAACAAAAATACTAATATAAAGAAGCTTACTTACAAAATTAGAGCAGGTCAAATCAATGCAGCAACACATTAGAATTAATATTCCATGAAGGAACAAATCACAATCTTTTTTAAATGCTTTATCTGGCCTATTTGAGGCTTTTCAAAATTGCACTAAAGAAGCAGAACCACACCAGTAACATGTATTAATTATGTTGTATTTGTTTATTATAGGCAGTACTTGGTTATACACCAACATTTGTACCTGATGTAAAAGGCATCATCAAAATATACGTTAGTTGTGTGGACTGTACCTATAAGGGTAGGCGTAACGTTAAACGCAATTACCAGACAAATGCTCGTTTTGAGGAGCGACTGTGCAAATACCACACTTTAATAATTCATCAGTAAAAGAGATGTGATTAAAATATCCGCTGCCAGACTGTTCAGGTGCTTTAATTTGTCAAACACTGGGTAAATTCTAAATCCTCCAGAAACCCTTTGCTATGTCTGCTCACTTTGCACACCACTGACATGATGTTACAGCCCAATCTGTTACTCCTTCTATGTCCTTTAATTTACAACCAGCCTTTCAGAAGCATCCACAGGAGGTCTGTGTGTTTTTCTGTGGTCAGTATGAAGGAATGCGAACATCTGTATAGCAGACCAAGGCAAACTTATTGTCGCGTGAATAGAGCCACATGCGTATCTTTTGTCAAAGTTCGCATCAGTCTGCACACGGGGTTGTAAAAACCATGAAGTGGCCTTTAGTAAAGATGAAGTGAAAATAATAACCTCAAAATGTCAGTGTCTGAGGCGGTAATCAAAAGGTCTGACATTAAGGCCTCCCTTTAGGCGACAATTTTCAAGGTAAGCCAAAAGCTTGAACTTCCAAAGTGAATGAAATAACCTTTGCTCGTGCACCACTTTGTTTATAGTCTGTGCCAAATCTGAATCATTCTATTGAACGTCTACCAGCTTTGTTTCATATGTGGACAAGACTTCTTATGGGAGTTTGAAGTTTAAATGTGTTGTTTGATCTCTTAGGCATCAATACTTTAGCGAGAGCTGAAATCATTGTTCTTATCTGCATGAGCCAACGCTCCTCTTCTTTTTATATACTTTGAGTTATTTATGCATCTCTAAAGCTTCGATTGTGATTTTAAGTCTTTGTAAACAACCAGTTCCTACTCTTTCTCTGTGCAGATAATGCTCAGGGCCACATTAAACGTCTATTTTTTTCCAGTTTAAGTAAAGTTAAATCGTGTCACATTGCCTCAGCAGAAACTTGTACACAGTTTTTACTTTTTGCTCATTTTCCCAGAGAATGATTTTTTATTTTTTTTCCACTGGCTCCTGGGATTTTTGTCAGCTGTGAGCAAGCGAGCTGGAACTTTTTTAAGCCTCGCTGTGTGTCACAGACGGCTGGTTTATAAACACTTCCCTGTATTAAATCGAGGCTGAACGAACGAACGAGGCAGGCAGGAGAGATGGAGCTGAGTGCTTTTATTTCACAGTGGTTTGAAACAAAGGAGGTGGATGGAGAAAGCAAAAAGCTGAGGAGGAGATAAATGGGTTAGCGAAGGAATGGGTAAGTTTTATAGAGATTAGAATGGATAGATCCAAAACATGTAGATAGGGGGGGTGAAGTGCGGCGTTCACTTCAAAAGAGGGATGACACGATTGTTTAGCTTTTATCCCCACAGACACTTAGCTCCCACTGCCACCGTCATCCTTCAGAGGGGTAACCCCTGCTGTTTGTGCCTGGAGAGCCCCAGGGCTTGACTGACATGGATCAGAGAGGGGGAGAGGGGGATGATGGGAAAAGGGGATAAAGAGACGTGGGGGGAGGTGGGCACGGGTTCATGTGGGATGGAGGGAATCAGAGGAGATGGGAGGGGGTTGAACGGCCTGGGAGACGGATGGGGAATCACTTTACAGGCGATGAAGAGATGAGAGGAAGAGGTCGAGAGATGGTTAGGGGTGAGAGCAGGGGAGGATCAGTCGAAATGCAGGGATGAAAGAGGCAGGGAAAAAGGAGGAGAGGTGGGACGAGGGGTTGGAGCAGAAATGAGGATCAAGGCCAGCCCGGGAGAGCGATTGAGCGGGAGGGGGGGATTTAGTTGGCCGGGCCATTCATCTACGAGCCCTGAGGTCAAACACGGGGTGAAACAGCGCTTATACAGGCCGCTGCAGAGCTGACATACATACTGCACTCATGTGTCCTACATCCTCAGAGGCTACTACTGGGCAGTATTGACAAAAGCCAGTATCGATAATAAGTCGAACATAATACTTTGAACAAGAGAAGCAGGAGTCAGTATTATGATGGCTCTTTAGCCAGCGGCTTTCATTGAATTTTTCACATCAAAATATTAGTTGTAAAGTAGATAATCCAAACCTCAGACAGTGACGTATCTACTTCCATATTATGATACTGGTATTATTAAGAGAAACTAAAAATAAATATCATTATCAATGAATGTATTGTGTTTTGGGGTAGCAGAGGATCTGTTAAGTCATAAAAACAACTGCGACATAGTTCCTAACCCAAATCATGTCTTAAATTTCTTTTCTTGTTCCTAAATTTCAGTCCAAAATCCAAAGACATCCAATTTAAAATTGAATAGCATTGAAAATAAGCAAATATTTTAACAGCTCATGAGAATTTTAAAATGTTCTACATGTTTTACATATTCATGGTGTGGTAAAAACAAAGTAATTTTCACATTTAGGTACTGTTTTGCACAGGTTGTGAGATATTTAATGTGACTAATTCACATAATGTGGTCTTATATGAAATATTATATATATCAACAAGTTAAGATGCACTCTGACATATAAAACACTCAGATGTAGGCACATGAGGATTATTGTAGCCTAGGTATAAAGTATTGTAAAGTTGTGAATTTAAATGTTCTGTATAAACATTTTTTAGAAACACTGTGTAACTCTTAACACACAAATCTGGTTTTGATAAATATGTTCAAAGTACATTATCAGCACCTGCATCTTTAACTACAGTTTGATAAATTGCAGCTTAAATCCATGTGTGAACTAGTTTTCCACTTATACACTTAGTTCTTTTCTCCTTTTAGCAGAATACTTAGATTGTTTTCAAAATTGATTCTGTGCCAAATCGAAACAAAACTTAATATTAGTGATTCTATCTACAGTGTCTGACCATCACTGTTCATTAGGGTTTGAGGGACAGTAGAGGATCTGAAACTAGATATTGGTAAATTAAAATACTGAACATGCAAACCACTGAATTGCGTCACTAACACCTAGTGTCCTAAAACAAACTGTATACACCTAGGTAGCTAATGTGTAGCTAAGATTTGCTCTTTGGGTGAAGTAGAGAGATTTCTAAAGAGTTTTAGAGTGCTGCTTACTTACACTGAGCTCACCTGTCTTCATGCTTGTGTTAGTAAAAGTTTGTCCCAGTTGTCTCTGTAAGAATTCAGTGCAATATTTCTATACTGCTGCATCTTTTGGACCCTTTGTTGCAGATGAACTCTTTATTTAGCAAAACTTTATTGCACACGATTTGTCTGACGTCTCCTCCCAGACAGCCGCGGCCTCTTCTTCACTGTCCCACATTGTCTTTCTTGGAGTGCATGTGATGGGGGGCAGGGAGGAGCCGCTAGGAAGGAGTCAAGTTATTGGTTGCATTTGAAGCAGGATGTTTTCCATGCAATCATAATAATGATGTCAGAACATAACCCCAAGTCCTCTTTGTCTGAGGCTGAGAGAAGTCTGAGTAGAAATATGGTAGATTCCAAGATGAGACTTGAAAAAGTTTACTTTTAGTCAACAGTCCCATTTAATCCTGGAATAGCCCTTTTTTTCAGTTACTCTGATTCAGACCAAAAGCCTTTTCTGGACTGACTCATGTCTTGCTCACTTGGGTGTGTCACATTGCACCTCAGTCTTAAGCCAGGAGACAGAATCTATCAAGATGCCCCAAGTCATACCGGAGTGTATGAAGTATTACTTTGCAAGACGGTGTAAATGTGAAGTTTGCTGCCTTATAATTCTAACTAGGACATGAGCAGAGAAGCAGCAAGAGTGTCTGTGTGTCTGCAAGCCTTACCTGCTGTACAGTCTGAGCAGGTTGCCCTGAATAAAGCAATGTCCTCTTTCTCTTCTCTCCTCCCTCAGTGGAAGCAGCGGGGGTAGCAGCAGCAGGGAGAACAGCGGCAGCAGTGGAATTGGCATTCCCATCGCCGTGCCTACACCCTCCATCCCCAACTCTGGACCAGGTGAGCTCGACAGTGACAGTGGCTTTCGGTGGAGGCAGCGATGCACCCAACCGGCTTCAGGCGTTTCACAAAGCCTCAAATAAACCCTGCCCCACCCTGCCTTGCAGAGCTGCCAGCACACCTTAGAGTTTCAGTGGTGTTTGTTGAGGACAGTGTTGTTTTCTTGTAGTCTGAATTGTTTTTCAGAGGAACACACACACAAAAGCCTGAACAAAACTTTGAAAATATTATCTCTGGTTTAAGTAAAATGAGACAGCACTCATTAAACACTGACAGGGAATCATGAGCATACAGGGCAGATTAACTACTACCTACTATGATTATGTGCTTCTTGCCTTTTAGTCCAAAGCGTATATTTTTTAATCTAAAAATGTGAACAGATTAATTTAATTGCACATTTTGGAAATGTAGAGCAGCAGACATAAGAAAACAAGTTTATTTTATTGATTATAATACCAATGAATAAACCTACAAAAGGCTTTATTTGACAAGGTGTACATATAAAGTGTTATTTGCAGATAGTGCAAGTACGCTACACAAAGCCTATGTTTACCAGACAGGGATTATGGAGGCCCATTGTGTTCTAAGCACAGCTGATTCTCTATCCGACTGTGTAAATAGGCCAAGCTGCGTAAGGCCTGCTGCTTTACAGTTGAACAGTAAGGCCCACATAACACCACGAGCAAGCTACACATAGTGTTGCATTACACCCTAATCTACAGCTGAGATAGCGCTGTGTTTAACTTTTGCACAGTATTCGAGCTGAGACGGGAATATTTTGGGTTTATGTAGCAGCTGCTTTAACTCAGCGCCAGGATCAAGCCGACAGCACAGGACTATCCACGGCTCTTTCTGCGAGCCGGTCGCCATGGAAACACTCAATTCATACCACAAAGGAGTGTGTCCGAGTGCGCGCCGTCTTGACAAAGTCGAAGAGCTCCTCCGGCCCCCCGAAGGGTCCTTAAGTAAACCGATATGATGTTATGTAACAGTGAGAGTTGCAGGAGGAGGCGGCGGCGAGCTCACACTCTGCTCCTGCTTCGACGTTAAACGGTCACTAATGTAAACACTCCTTGCAGTCTCACCCATGTTTGCTCCCCCGGGAGCCCCTCCGCCTCCCCCACCCCCTCCACCTCCTCCGCCTGCTCCTCCCATGGCCGGGTTTGCCCCCCCAGCACCGCCAGCACCACCAGCCCCTCCACCTCCGCCACCCATAGGTGAGACTCCTCCAACGCCAAGACCACTTGTGTCAGCTCTGGTGACGGTGGATCATCTGCACATCTGCTCTGATCTTCTCACGGATGGTGGAGATGCACAAATCAGGGTGTTGTTGGTGTGGGTGTCTGTGTGTACACACTGCAAGCAAACAGGTTCCTCTCAGGAAATCTTCCCACTGATGTTTTTGCAAAGTAAATTGAGCTGCGTATTCACTGTTGTGTGTTCAGTTACTTTAATAAGTAGATATACGCTATTCTAAAACACTAACTAGGTAATGACAATGCACAGTAACAAAAGTTAGCATCAGCATTGGAAGCACGTGCACTCTTAACATCATTGAGACATTTGTCTTTAGTCAATTTAAATTATTATACAGTAAATTAAATAACATCATTAAGGAAATGAGGAGAGATAAAAATCTAGCCGGCTGTTGGGAAGTTCTGGCCATGGCTGACTTTTCCCAGCCAATAAACTTGTTGACCTAAACACAGCAGCCAAGATTCCTTGGTTGTTCAGCTGTGTGGTTGCTTGCAGTGTGAACGGATATTGCATATGTTCTTCTGTTTGGATATATCGGAAATGCATTTGTTCTTTTATTTTAATCCTTGGTGGTGGTGGTGCTTCCTCAATCTTCACTGATCTGTTATTGGCTTACCAAGAAGTCTCACGTCACCTAAGGCCTGACTCAAGTTAATTACTGCCTGCAAAATCTCTAAAAATGTTCATTTACGTTTGATGTATATCTTAAAAAGCACCCGAGCCTTTTGGCAATCCTCAGCATAGATGTTAAATTTTACAACCTAAAAATTTAAGAAGCCCCTCCAAGTCAGGAACTTCACTGGCAGAATGTGAGCAGTATTTATGTTCAGAAATGTGGATTTGAGACTTCTTCTGCACAGGTACAGTATATCAATATTTCATGTAATGTCATCTCCAAAAAATGATTGTGATTAAAGCTGCATCGGGCAACATGTTTCTCAAATCAAGCCCACATTTGCATGTAAAGTTTTGCATATTTATGAAGATTTACAAGTCGTAAAGTAGATATTGTTGGGTTTGATTAACCAACCTTCATTTAAACTCAGCTCTACATTGGTTATGTTACGGTTTGGGATGCTCAGCTGGTCCCACCTGTCATTCAAAGTGGCTACGCTCCTAATTATGTTCAACTTTAAACCTTAATACATTTGAATCAGTGAGTTATGTAAAAGATTCATCCTCTGTACAGTTGTCCTGAATGAATGAATGAACTATCAGAACCAAAGCCATTATTTGTACCAAACTGTAAAGATGTTTATTTTTGCTGTGAATTTGATCATTTCAACATGGCAGCCTGTCGGATTACCTCACTTTTGGAGCCGACCTCTAGTGGCCATTTGAGGAACTGCAGTTTTTGGTACTCCAGTGTCATATTTTTACCCTGCAGTTTGCTACTTGCTGATGCTTCAGTGACTTACCGTTTACATAGTTAACTGCTTGCGATTGGACATAATTACAGATGTTTCTTAGCAACAGGTTTAAAGTCGTTGTTGCTGCCAACAGCTGAGGCCAGAGGCTTCACATTTTTCAGGTTGTGTGTCCACATCATTCTTTTACTGTGGTATCCCTGGCGTATCATGACGGATTTGACACAAACCTTCACTTGGATTTGAGGATGAACTAATTAAAATTTGGGGGTCAAAGGTCACAAAACGTCTTTTGGGCCGTAATTCAAGAATTCATACATAATTTCACACAAATCTCGAATAAGATTAGAAGAACATCCAGCTGTGAGGCAGTAATTGTCGTCTAAGTTATGACAGTGCAGGATGATTTAGTAAATCGCTGGTGTGAAGTAAAACATTAAGCTACCACTCCACTCTGAGACTCTTGTACCCACAGCTAATGTCACATAATGTGATTTCAGGGTAATGGACTCCCAAAACAGCCATTTGGGTTCTGCAGATATTCAGCTTTGCCTGATGCAGCTTTAATTTACATGGGGAATTGGCTGTGAATCACTGAGTGATACTGGGTCTGATTTACTGTCACAGCTCTGCAAGACTGAAAAGCATCCAGCTGTTTGATTACTCCCGACTACTGTGTGTGTATGATTGTGCGGCGGCTGCTCATATTTCATGGACTCCAATAATCTGATATCTTAAGTAGACGATCGCTTGAAACGCGCACTTTTTACCCTCAAGACACCAGTGCAGTCTTTTGGCTATAATTACTCCTACAGTATGGAGAAGTTTGTTTGCGCTTGTGTTCCTCTCAATTTTTACTTCCTCTGGTTCCACCCATTCCTATCTGAGAGCGTGGTCTCCTGAGAGGCCGTATATAATCTAGAAATGTGAACAGGAAATGCTCAAGCAGAACAAAGAAAAAACAAAACCTTTAACCCTTCCCCTCCCTCTCTATTTTTGTCTTTCACATACTCTGACACTGCTATGACCTGCAAGCATTCGAGTGTATTTAATGTTGTAACACTGCTGCTGTTGGAAGACATGATTTGGGTATTCTTTGATGAACAGCATAATTTTAAGTGGACGCCACCTGCAAAAAAAAAGTGTATGAAAAAATTATTGTCACCACCAGGATTCGTCTGTTGCTGCTCTGTTCTTCTTCGTCACTGACTCTTTCCCCCCACAGTCTTTCTTTGCTAATTTTCTAAAGAAGCTTAAAGCATCAGATTTAACTACCTGGGACTCCTCATGAAATATGTCTGTAACAGTGTTATCAATTAACAATCCATGTTGCTTCCTCTAGCTCCTCTGCTTCCTCTGATTGGTTATTGATTGTCTTTTCATAAGGTGTGGGGCTCTAATCAGTATTTAAAAGCTCACATTATCTTTTACGGTGCCGATGATTCATGTTTTCGTTGGTTTTTCCCCCTCTTCTCTCTTCTGTCTTACCTCCTTCCCTTCTTTGGTTGTCTTTCCTCTCTCTCTCTCTCTCTTTTCTTGTCTTTGGGTGTTTCTAGCGGTGGCCCCTGGGCCTGGTCTGGGCCCCGCTCCAATGTCCCAGTTTGGAACCATCTCGCGGCAGATTTCGCGGCACAACCCCTCCAACTCCTCTGTCTCTATGGTTTCGGCCACGGGCACCTACCGCCGGGCGCCGTCGGTCACTTCGCAGTTCTCCTTGCAGCAGCAGCAACAACTACAGCAACAGCAGCAACAGCAGCAGCAACAGCAACAGCAGCAGCAGCAGCAGCAGCAGCCTCATATTAATGGAGGCACCCCTGGCTATGGCCAGAACTCAAGTAAGGCCCTTTTGTCTCCAGCTCCAACCCGCTTTATAGATCCTCAACTGTCACTAAAGCACAAAACCTCACGTTCTTCCAAGTCACGCACAGTCACAAACTAAAGGAAGCTAACCTTTGTAGTCACAGACCAGTATTTCATATTTCCAAGTGAGCCACTGCTTTTTGAAGGTCAAGCTTGCATTCTTGTCAGAATTATTGACTTTTTTCCTTTAACTTTGAAAGTGCAGGTGAAGGCTTTTTTATTTATTTATTTATTTTTTTCTAACTGCAGGATGTCTTTAGTATTGATGCAGGATCCTTTCTCCTTGGATTCTCAGGCAGATACAATGGAGGCAATCGATGTCTGCTAACAATGCACAGTCACAGTTTTTGGCATCTTGTAAAAGCAACATCAGAGTTTACCTGTCAATTTATTTGTCTGTGCACCATGTAGGGTTTTTTTTTTTTACTCCTGGTATTAATGTGTGATCAATATCTGAATGCATGAATTTTATTTGGAACTTATTTATTATTAATTAGCATCAATTGTGCCGACGATGGGATGTTAGCATGTAAATTATTTAGGTGGGGTTAAGAAAAGCAATATAAAGTGCGAGCGTCATGCTAACTACAGCTACTATCTGCAGCTAGTTAGGTGACCTTTCAACATGCTGGGAAGATCTTTTTTTTCCCCTAAGAATGTGGTCACGCTGTATGGATTGTGCGAACCAGACCACCTCCAGATGTGGTCGATCACATTCCCATCACAAAGCATTTGGCGAGTCTTTACACCTTGCATGTGTTTTCCCTTATCCAGATGGGCTAGCCAGTTACAGATCACACGCAGGTGTAGATGGGGTTTTACTGCCTCGTCTGCATTATAAAATCACCAGTTTAGGGATTTGATTCCTGAAGCACTGGGCTTTTAATGCTGTCTACCCCTTGCTCTCACTCTCAGTGCCCCTAAATCAGGATTAATCGAATGATATGGGAAAAGTTGGGAAAATGTAAAGAATGTAAGGAATTCGGTGTACCCTTTGGAGATAACTACAACAGGTCTATAGGGAGTTCAACAGCTTTGCTTGGGATTGGGGTCGAGCCTGAGAGACATCCAAGGCAAACAGTGCCCCCTTCTGGCTACTGGCTGCATTTACTTTTTATTTTTTAAGTGTGGTAATGGTCTGATTGAGAGAAATCAAGCATAATCCGCTGTTTATCCTCTGGCCTCGGTGATCCCAGCGTGGCAGCTCATCACAGTCAGAGACGTCAATGAACTGTTCAGCTATTACGTTTGTGTCTGCGGAGACACTGCAGTGAACAGATATATATTTATATATGTTTTTTTTTTTGTTTTTTTTTTAATAATTTGGAACTTTCACTTTAAAGTGTTCTGTCTAAGCTCACAATTCTTGCAGTGTGTCTGTGTCACTGTTGTGTTCGCTTGGGATGGGTTTGCACTGTCTTCTGTACATTCTCGGTGACTGATGGGCTTTCTCTGTCTTGCTCACTTTGTCTGCCCTCCTGTCTTTTTTTTTTTTTTTTTCTCTTCCTCTGCTGGCTTTCAGTGTCTATCGCTCCTCCTCCTCCCCCCATGCCCCAGCTGACTCCACAGATACCTCTGACTGGCTTTGTGGCCAGGATGCAGGAGAGCAGTAAGTGAAAGAGGCTCAGACATTCAGAACACCCAGCATGCATTGTGCTTGTCCACCTTCCGTAGTCTGTCTGTTAACCTTTTCCAGCAGTGAACTCTTAGACGTAGCGCTTCCTTCATTTGTGTAAGCACCGACTACAATGAATATAGTAAAGGCATTGTTGCTTGTTTGCAAGTAGGTGTGCAGAGTTGAACTGAGGTGAATGATCATATTTGTGGCGGAAAAGGTGCCAAAGGTCACCGGAGAGTAGAATTGGACTCTCTGTTGTCCCCTGCTGGCACAAACCTTGCATTATACATACAGACACTACAGATTAAAAGTATTTACCTCTTAACTGAAAGCAAATTTCAGTAGTTGTCACTTATTTAATTGTACAGTTCAGTGTTAATTTATATTAAATATCTACATAAGTTTTTTTAAAAATATATATATTTATATCTACTTTTTTCTCCCTCTGGGTGTGGCTGCTGTCACACAAACCTCTAACCTACTAAACGGCATGACTCAGCATGTGCCATTAAAGTGTTCACATATATGTGTAGTTCTCTTTTTTTTATATATATACATGCATGCCTGAATAGATCTTTCAGAGGCACCACGGGAGGAACTCAAACTACACAACCCCCTTAAGAGGCTTAAACATGCAGGATATCATCCTATTAAGTGATCCATGAGAAGTCTTGCAGCCTGCTTGATGAACATCTTATATACACACATTCACCTGCATGTCTTTGCGTTGTATATAATTCTGCATGATTCTACCGCCGCTGTCTCTATCTCAAGGCTTGTAAGCCAGCTGTTAAAGCCTTTTGAGTGATTTATGCGTGTTCAACAGTTGCAGATACTCCCACTCCACCTCCGCCACCTCCTCCGGACGACATGCCCATGTTTGACGAGTCCCCGCCGCCTCCGCCGCCTCCACCGGTGGACTACGAGGAGGAGGACGCTGCTGTCGTGCACTACAACGACCCCTACGCCGACGGGGACCCACAGTGGGCTCCCAAGATCTACATCGAGAAAGGTTTGCCTCAAAAATCAAAAGGGTTTGAAGGTAAAAGTGACTCGCCAATCATGCGCTAACTCCTCTTGCTCGCTCTCAGTGGTGGCCATCTACGACTACACCAGGGACAAGGACGACGAGTTGACTTTCATGGAGGGGGCGATTATTTACGTGGTCAAGAAGAACGACGACGGCTGGTTCGAGGGCGTGTGCAACGGCGTCACCGGCCTGTTCCCCGGCAACTACGTGGAGTCCATCATGCACTACGCCGACTGAAGGGACCTCGCAGTAAAAGTACAGTCTATTTATTCAGTCATATCATAATCCACTGAGAGACTGACAGCAGCAATCTGACTCCTGAGACGCATAGACATAACTGTATGATTCCCCGACTCCCCCTTTTTTTTTTTGATATGACAGAATGTTCTTTCCCTTAATGATTGCAAATAAAATGAAAAGTAATATCTATTTAGTTTATTTTGGTGTTATAGGGATGGGCTGGGAGACATTTATGGAATATGTACAAAAGAAAAAAAAAAAGTTTCTACAGAATGGGTCTGCTCACGCGGGTTGAAACACCTCTGAAGGATGCACGGCGACATCTTGCCTGAACAAAAAAATAAAAAATTCGACGATCGAGAGCTGAACAAGAATATTAGGTTTTGACGGAACAAATAAAACGTTAATGTCATGTATGCACCTTCAGTTGAAGTGTTTGTACTGTCGGTTGTATATAACGTGAGCCGCAGCCGCTCGGGCTTCTGTAATGTAAATTCAGTGAATGTCAATTATATGATAGTTTTCATTAGTGGCGCCCTCCTCAACTCGGAAACAAACGGCCTGTTGATACTTTATAAAATTAAATACTGTAAATGGTATTTCAAAGAAAACCGATACTTCTGAAAAATCAGTCTTGGCGTTAAAAGCATGCAAATTTTTCGAGATATAATGTAATCTTAAGTTTATTGCCATTATGCTTCCATTATGTTGTAAATGTATTCACTTTTTTTTTTTGGTTTTGTTTTTTTATTACACTGTTGAAATCACTGAACTTTTTAAGCTCTCGAGTAAATTACAGGCTTTCCCATGGCCTCACCTTTTAAAATGCCAATTTGCAGTTAAAAATCTAAAACACGAGGTTTCGCTTTCTTCATGCATTTAAATCTGTCTGACGCATAAGAACACACATTCCATTTTGGCTTGTTTATCTTAGCATTTTAAGATTATGTCACATCACTGTTGATTTCTTTCTCTCTCTTTTTTTTTCTTCTCCAAACTAATCCACACGAATCTGTAGGATCCATTGGCAATAATGGACAATAGTTCTGGTAGGTGTGCAGCGATGATTAGACTGGAATTGTCCTGCCCGACACTGCCATGTGACAATTCAGCTGTAATAATGTAGACCAATAAACAACTCTAATACCTCCTCAGTCTTCTCAAAGCAACAACGACCTGCTCTGGGTTCAAGGACCATGTTGAATGCTAGGAAACATGTAATCCTCTGGGGCTGCACGGGTGTACATAATAACTCACGTAGAATCAGCCGGTCAATATTTTAGGTGTCGCTCAGGTCAAGGAATCATTTTTATAACATTGTATTTTTTTGTGTGTTGGCACTCAAACGTACATCTAACATGATTAATTTTTGACCTTAAAAGATGCAGAGTTAAGACATCCTCTGCAGTGGCCACCATTTACCATTGCAGTATACCGCAGCCAATGCCTTCAGATTTGGTCCAGCTTCTTTGATTTACCCCCCCTCCCTCCCCCCTTCTCCTACCCCGACAAAATGTGTTCTGGCTCAATTTAGTGGGTAGAAATATTGAAATCTATTTCTCTCTGCCCTTCATTTGTACATATAATATGTTGATTGAAAAAATTAATGTACAGTCTTTTATAATAAACAATTCTATGTACAACATGCACGTGTCATCACTTGGAGGAAATGAACGAGGCAAGAGTTTCGTTTAAATAGAAAAAGAAAAAAAATCAAGCAGGTGGTTTATTGAGGACACAGTCATTGTACATGTTAAGGCCTTGGTTGTTACAGGGCACTCTGCATTACAAAAGTAACCGCATAACATTTCACAAAGTCGAAAAGACAAGACTGTTTGGCCTTCGAGGTGTGGACGAATCACCAAGGACGTCAAAACAGTTCCAAACAGACACACCGGTGACAATGATGCACTTCTCATTTGGAATTACAAATGTTTTGTAACACGGCCGCAGCTCAGGACTAGCGTGCAACAAAGTGTGTTCACTCACAGTCGGCTAGTCTGAGGCATCGGAGGTTGTTACAGTTACAGTACTGTATGCAAGGAAGGGTAGGGTTGCCGTTTTCAGTGCCGTTTGTGTACGATTGCAGTTTATTTCCAAATCATCACCGGTTCCTTGTAGGAACTGGGAAAATCAACCATTGTCTTAGCATTATCGGGCAACTCACCCTCGTGTACGTTTGTGGGAGTGGTTGAGAGAGCCACGAAGCATGAGTTCAGAAAGACCCCTGCGTGCCGTTTTTGTTCCGACAAACCAGCCTGCTGCCACATTCGTTCAGGGTTGGCACTAAAACCAGCACCAGGGGTCCATCCGAACCAAACTCCCATTGCTTCTCTCAACGTCCTTTTTTTGTCCGACCCCGGCCTGCGCAGACACACGAGTGGCTGGGTGAGTTGCCTTCTTGACAGGTAGCTGCCTGAAAAGAAGCCTCCCAGCAGAGGAGGTTCACTTGTCTCTGCTGAGCACCATCTCGGTGAGCCTGATGAGGGCGTCTCTCTCCGGGGACGGCCTGAGCATGCTGACCTGTCTGATGGCTTCTTGGCAGTAGCGCTTGGCGAGGAAGCTGGTCTGCTCCACACCATCGCTCTGAAAAGAAGAAGGGGTTGTTAGAATCTTCACCTATCCAAGAAGAGTTTACTGACTATGTTGTGTTCCAGACGCATACTCCTGATTGCATTTTGTGAATCTGAACTGTAACCCTGGATCCAGCTAATCACCTGCTAATACAATCCTAGAGGTGAAGCATAGTGGTGGCAGCAAAGAACACCGTCCTTGAGTGGCCCACTTAAACCTGATCTGAGAAACCTAAGCATGACAGTTCAGATGCTAAACTGACGAAGCTCAAGATAACTTTCCTTAATCCAGGTGTGCCAAGTTTGCTGTGACCCACCCAAGATGGATTAAACCTCTATCTGATGCCAAAGTGGCCTCTATGAAATAATTAAGGATCTAAAAAGCATTTTAAATTCAGCTTTTGATTTGGAAATGGATTTGCAAACATGTATATGGTATGTAAAAGATGGACATAGCCTTCAGGTCTGAAAAATTAAGCCAATGCAGAAGTGACTTAAAGTTCTAGTTGAACTAATAACTTAAATTGTATAGAAATCTGTGAGAAATCTTACTTCAACTATTTTTTTTTTTTACCTTGGTAAACATTTTCCTCATAAGTTTATGAGCTCTGTTGCTAGTTTCAAGTCTCCTTCAATACAGCATGATGTTTATTCTGTAAATTATGTTCCCATTTGGAGTAAAATAGAAGACAAAGAATGGTATGTTTTAGGGCGTGGCTGGTAACAAGTTGGTACAAGTTGTGCACTTTCAAAAAACTTAAGTTCACCACAGCCAAAATGCAAAAGTCTCAGCTTCAAACAGTTAACAAATAAAACTGGTGATGTCACAGCAGCTATGTCCATCTTTTACAGAAAGCTTGATGAGGGAAAACAAAGCCAAATATATCTAGAACACAAGAAAGCATGCAAAAAGTGAGGTCTGATTACTTTCTGAAGCAACTCTAGGAAAGCCTTTAGTATCTTCAGTTATGGTTTTGGTCCAAACAGATACAAATGTATGTGTGATTTAACTTTTGTTTTTTGTTATGTTTTAAAAGAAAGGTAAAAACTGGTATCTGATAAGTTTTCAGAGTCTATAAATGCTAATTGTTTACAGTGTATTGTTGCTCATACCTGAATGACAAACTTCCAGGCTCGATCTACGTCTCCTTTAGAGCTGAAGCGTCTCATGATCATCCCATGAAGCTCAGGAAACTGGAAAGACAGACAGGTAAGGACTTACTGATGGTGGACAGTGATGTATCATTTGTTTGTATGTTCCAATAACTTCCTCTAACAGTTTCTATGAAAAGATATGTTAACACTTACCTGCTGACAAGCAAACAGGACCGGTCCGGTGGCTAAACCCAGCTTCAGATCGGCAGCAGTCGGCTTCCCCAGCTGATTGGCTCCTGACGTGAAATCCAAAACATCATCCACAAGCTAGAGGACAAAACAAAAAACAAGGTTAAATGTAGTTATACATAGAGCACTATCTGCTGTATGAAGACATCCTTCCTGCTCATCATTTCTTAACAGAGATTCAGGTTAGCTAAGCTTTAGAGGTCTGATAATAGCTGACCCAGTTCTGCTAAAAAAAGAGATCAGAAATTACCTGAAATGCGATGCCGACATTTTTCCCATACTGGTAGGCTATCTCATGAATGTCAGGATCAGAGTTTACTAGAATGGATACCTTAAATCACAGAGAGTCAGACAGTCAACAAAAAACAAATGGCGTAGGAAATGAAGCTTTTCTCCATCTCTGAGCTCAATGATGTGGAGACAGAACGTACATACTGCTTTACAGCTGTTAGCGATGAGACTGGCAGTCTTCTTGAAGGTTTTCTCGAGGTAGTGTTTGAATCGTTCGTTCTCGTTCTCTTTGGAGCCCAGCTGCATGAATTCACCTGAAGGGGGAAGACGCTGTATGTTAACGGTCTCCTTTAACCAGCATCCGATGTGTGTAAAAGTGTGTTGTACTGTACCTCGCACCAGGTCGTCTATCACCTGGGAAAACACTTTGACCACTGCGTTGTTACCAATGCGGGCCAAGATCACCGAGGCGGCCGAGAGGATGAAATCTCCGGTCAAGATAGCCTGGAAACAGGACAACGAATCATGTGAATGAAAACTAAAGAAAGGATGAAATCAGGAGGGAAAGGAAGCCGATCTGATGACCCCTTACCTTTTTCTCCCCCCACACTTCATTGATCGTCCTCTTTCCTCTTCGCTTATCTGATCCATCTATGACGTCGTCGTGCACCAGGCTGGCAGTGTGAATCATTTCAGTGATCATGGCTACGGCCCTCTGCCC